CGCCAAGTAGTACTCGATAAGGAATCACCTAAAGTTTTATTAATTATTAAATGACCATTAAATCATAATCAACTCCGGGAAGCAGTAGTAATGTAAAAGAGTAGTGAAAACGTTATAAGAAATTTTGAAAATACAATTAAAATGATGGTCCAGTGCTAGATCATATAATAGGCAAACATGTAGTGACTTATGTACTTGGCCTCCATAACCTGATATCAATATTTTTTATTAGAGGAATACACAGCACTCCTGTACTTGGCGTAGTTTTTTACACGTAAGTGTTTTTTGGGGGATAGGTTCTACTGCAGTTTATATATTCTCTTTTATGATGCGCATATATTGACATATGACACTCCTGACCAGGTTTAGCTTTGTCGATATATGCCACCACGACACTCAAATGATTAAAGGGTAGAATGCTGGGTGCTCTGCTGGCTACATACAGAAGTTGCATGTGGTACTATTGGTTTGTTAACAATTTTTGTGGTAAATACTATTGACGAATTGATTGTGTATGCGCGGAATACTCTACTGGCTTTGGTGTACTGTAGCGCTGTGAGAAGTCTGTTCACGAGTAATTACTTCAGTACTTTCAACGGATGAAGACTCTCGTCGCCTGAACACACTCATAGCGCCCCCACTGCTGAATTTAGTGCGTAAATTATTAGACGTGTTCAGACGTCCATAGCACCGAAAGTGTTAAACATCGAGAACAGAAGATCATATTGCACTACAAATTACATGACAAAATTCACACTTTTCAGGGTTTTCTGAGCGGTGTTGTTTTGCATACGGTAGTTGTTCTGGCTTAGCCGGTAGTTCTAATACAGATTTGTAGGCCACAGTTTATACTGTTACAAAGGAAGACGTAATTTATGATGGATTATTACCAAAAAAAAAAGTGTGTGTGTAGGCACTCACGTTAGAAGTGAAACTTTGCTACTTAATTGATTATTATCTGCGAGAATTAGGTAACATTTATTGAAAATAATGTGCAAGAGAATGAGATGAATGTAGCAAGAGTAAACAAGAGTGTGAGACAATGGTAGGTTATATTGCATATGATATTAATACCAAGTCAATGAACAAATTTCTTTTTTCGTTTTATTTTCTGCCGCTTTTCTTTTCTGCCGATACTCTCGATACTTATCAGCATTTGTTTTCGGCATGGTTGAACAATAACTTTATAATATTTAAATGTAAGGATAAGAAAAATGTAACTCCGACACACACGACGTAGTAAACGTATACAGTACAGCACGCTACGATGCCTTTTCCCAACGCTTGATTACACACACACATACATCCATACATCAGTACAAACGCATGTATAGTCTATAGTGTTTAGACCTAAGCAAGCGTTATACTATTGTATGTATGACATAGGGCCTGAGCTTTCGCATGCTTAAAGAAAAGAGTGGAGAGGACACGAAGCATCGTATGAAGAGGAAACTAAGAGAATAGGGCATACTGTGTAAAACTCTGTTCCATCTCATTTTCTCGTTCGCTATACATGATCTATCTTATTAGTGTCGCTTTTTCGTTTCATAATTTTCAATTCACAGTCTCGCTAAGGAAGTTTCACTTCAATAATGTCCTATTGCCCTAAACGCTTTTAATTCTTTCTCATATATGCGCAGAGAATAGAGCGCACGCACAGGACAGAATGTAATGTCCTATAGCTCTCACGCCTGGGTCCTCGTGCCTGCCGTGTGCACATGTATGAAATGTAGGAGTGGGGACGCTACGAACCATAGCACAAAGAAGAGGCGGAGTACAGGGAAACTATATAGAGGCGTGTTTCGTCTCATTCTCTCGCACGCTGAGCCCTATACATCTATATCGTTTGTCTCTTTTTACTGACACTTTTTCGTTTCATAGTTTTCAATTCACACCGTGCCATAAGAAGTTTCACTTTAAAAATAATATTTCGTCCATTAATTATGCTCAAGGAACTGATTTCCCATAGTTTACTATTCTTAGTGTAGTTATAGGGCTTTAAAGACCTCGATTCTGTGATTAAGGGATTCAGATGTTTCGCGATTTTAGAGGATTAGGAACCTGGAGGCTTTTTAAGGGGGTTTGTGCACTGGGCAGGCGTCTTGACAGGAAATAACACTTGATTTTAAAAATTAAATTATCTTACTATATTGTCCTATAAATTACATGCTAGAAAGTCACTTAACTGCTATCTCATTCTCTCACACACTCTTATTGTTTTTTTTTATTGTACCGCAAGTGATAAGAAGTGTATTTGTTTAACTTTTCCCTGTACTAGGTTCTAGGAATGGGAAAGAGATAGTTGGAACTATAATAAAGCAAATTGCACACTGCGTCCGGAGACTATAATCCAGCTGAAGGTAGAGATGATAATGATTCAGGACCCATAGATGGTCACAATGATCCCCGTTCGCTGAACCTATTACCTTTAGGAAGGTTTTGACTCAGATAGCTCCTAATCACAGTGACGTTGGAAATCAGTTTCAGACTCAGGTCTTTTTAGGTGGGTGTTAGTAACATGTTTTTAGTCGATTTCTGACAGCTCTGGTACAATGACTTTGCTGCAGAAGATCTACAAGGATAGCAGGTTTCCTGATACAGAAATGAGACACAATGCTTCCTGAGACCAAGAACTGCTAAGGATGAGCTCCCACAGTTTTCAGCTGAATATTGTTCACTGCTTGGCCCTGGAATGCAGGATAGATTCCCTAATTAATTCTTAATGATTATGTTTCCTAAATCTTTACTATTTTTTGCCATCTTTTGGTGTATACGAATCTTAACAACGAACGAGCCGAGTCGGAATCGGAATCCGAAAACAGAGTGAATTCCTGTCGAGGAAGCCGCTGCTTATATTCTCGAAAGGAATACGTTATTTTTAGTAACGATAGCGATTTTTATTCTCCCAAGGTGTTAACGTTGCTTTTTGATTTGATATTTTGATTTATTACTTGATTTGAGAATTTAATTTGACTAATTGGATTAGCGGTTTTTTCAAGTATCGGCTTACTGATATTTCTAATGTATTAGGCAAGTGCTCACTGATAGCGCTTGGACACTTGTTTTGATTCCAGTCGCACGACTGGTGTTTGGATTCTTGGAATGTTAAAGGTAATAATCTCTAATCATGATTATCGCTTTGACTAA